TGATGGTCCTAGAGACCTCTGCTCCTAGACTGGAGAATTCATCACTCCCTCCTTGCTACAAAACATCTGCCTTTGCATTTCCAATCCTCATAATCAGTCCTGATAATAATTATTCACTACAGTATCACGAGTTACCCATCTGTATTTCATTTCATCAGCTCCGCCTAGACAGATTGGATAGTACTCACTGGAGGTTCTGCCTTCCTCCATGCCCCCTAGCTCTAGGTTCCTCTTGAAAGCGTGTAAGCCAGTCACTTCTTGCCTTTGTAGTTCCCCCCTTTTGGGTATCCAATGTCCACGTTGCCTGTCTTTGTCTACTCTGTGTGTGGAGGGGGTGGGAATGTTTCTTGCTGTAAGGATTTGTTCCTTCTTTTGAGTCTTTGCATCCGTAGGTGTAGGTCAAGTTCATCAAATTGTATCAGCTCACTCTTTTTTTTCCTCTTCTTTCTTCTCCTGGTTGAGCTCTGATCATCCAGTCATCCGGTCCAGGTCACGTGGGTACCATCTGCAAGTGTGGGCGTTCTTGTGCACATGCCCTCTCTTCCCATCAGCCGGTAGCACCACTCTCCACTCAAGTCCTCCGTGGCCACACCACTGACTCTGGGCCCAAGAGTCCCCCGGTCTCCTTATACTGCTTGCCAACCAGGTCCTCAACTGGGTCCACAAAAGCCCACCAAACATTGCAGGGCTTAGCTTGCCGCTTCATTGCTGCTTTTACCCCCCTTTCCCCTATCTGTGATGCGTGTGGTCACCAATCAGAGCGTGTATTTCCGTTGAGTCTTAGTCTTGGGAGGGGGTTTACATTGAGGGGACCTGACCACTTGCCTTGATGTTTCCTGGGGATGCCATAATTTTTTGAACAAATAAGGGCATAAGTAAATAAAATACAAAAAAGTTGAAACAAAAAATCTTCTAGTTTCTGTCATCCAGATATAAACTGAAATGTTAACAGCTATTACATCATCTCTTATTTTCCTCTGAGTAGCTTTGCTTTTTACATAGTTACTTTAACATAATATATACTTTTTGTTTTCTTGTACCATTAGTTTAGGCATATTTCTGTGTCATTGTAAGGACTTCGTAAGCATTGTTTTGATTGACTTCATTTCTTTCATTGAGTGGCTGAACCAGGTGTAGAGTCTTGAAACATTTATGTGCTCCCATTCCCCTGGATGGTCTCAGCTTCCCATAGGGAGGTTTATGTGGGCAACCAGTTGTGCTTGGTGGCCCAGCAGGTCTGACTGTTGCCCTTACTATGAAGCAAGGCCATGGGGCCAGCCTCCTGAGTTGGGCTTTTTTATTTTAAACTACCAGTGCCATTTTTGAAACTCTGGACCCAAGGCTGGAGTCTGAATGAACATCTTAGTTCATATTGCGCCTGATGCTTCAGTGGTAGCATCTACCTTGTGCGCAGCTAGCTCATCATCCAGGTGGCCTGTATGAGACTCAGAGAGGCTGATTTCTCCGTGGTTGCCTCTGCTGACCTTTCTCCTCAGAGAAAAGGCCAGTCTCACACTGGGTTGGGGCGACTGATGTAGCTGTAACCGTACATGTGGAAATTAGAAGTTAAAACCAGCCACTCAGCATGCTTCACCCTCTCTTCCTGATAGAGTGTAGAACCTTTGCTATCATTTATTCTTCTCATTGTGCCAGACACTGTGCCAAGCACTTTAGAGGCATTCCTCACAGCAGTGCTATGGAGTGGGACTCCTATTCTCCCTAGCTTTCAGTCAGAGAACTTGAAACTTAGTGAGGGGTAATGGCTCACCCATTGTTATATAACTACTAAGTGGTTATCACTTTGCAGGTGTAGCCTGTCTGCATGAGATCCATTCTCTTGACAACTGGATTCATTTACATGAGGGAAGGTTTTGTGATCTGAGGCATAGCTTGATCCTCAGGGCATGGAAGGAGTTTCTCAGAAGACTTGCAGCATGTGGCCCTTGGGAGTTTTACCCCATTGACTAAGAGCGCCCACAACTCAGTTCCAGGGAAGACCTGTGGTAACACATTAGTTTGTTCAGCTTATCTTACTCAAGTAACTTCAGCCTTGTTTTCTTTTTTGGCTGTTTTCTTCTCCTGCCTATCATCATGTAGCTTTCTAAGACAATTAAAGAAGAGTGCTACTCTTCTTCTCCACATCATGGCTACTGGGCACCCAGCCGGGATTCATTATTGCTTAGGTGCCTCTTGAAACAAGTGAGGGCTTGGTGAAGATCTCTCATCCTTCATCCATGACTACAGTTGTTGGGTTGTCTGACCCCTAGTAGCTGCATTCTCAAGGGCTAACAGAAGCAGCCCTTTTCTACTCAGTTTGCCTCTGGGCAAACTTCCAGAGGGCTGTGTTAGAGAAAGGTGCAAAAATGAAATTGCTACTTGACTTGTATTATCTAGATTGCAAAGAAATGAGTAGGACTAAAAATAGTTTATAGTGGACACTGAGGCTTAAAGAGCGTATCTGTGGACCTCAAGTAAGTAGGCCACTTGGGTAGAAAATTGGCATTTGAATTTTGTAAGCAGGGTTGATAGAGGAGTGGGATGAGAACTCTACTCCAGCTCAGGATTGTAGAGCTCAGGGCCCTCAATGACCGCTTAAAGAAGTGGTACAAACTTTTGAGATCCTTCTGTGACCCTGTGGGTTAATGCGCTGGACTGCAAAGTCGGTTTGAACTGCAAGGTTGGTGGTTCAAGCTGCTCCTTGGAAACCCTACACAGGGTTAGAATGGGTCGGAACTGACTCCACGGCATTTAACAACAACAAGAGCCAGAGCCAGGGTGGTTGATTGACTAGGGAAGTTTGTGGGTGTTTCACTACTTGGGGTGCCCACTGGGGCCCTGAAAGCCACATATAGCAGGACAGGGCTGCCAATCAACTGTGAGGGGGTGAGGAGACGCTGGCTTTCTGCTTTTTCAATTGTAAATTGGGGGAAAGTTTATAGAGCACATTGGGTTTTTTTGTTCAATCATATACATTTGGTTTTGTGATCTTGACTGCAGTCACCACAGTGTAAAAGCAGCACTCGTCCCACCTCACCTGGTATTTCCCTTTTCCATTTGTTTCTTTCCCAGCCCTTCCTCCTTCTGAGCTTTTATCCCTGAGCTAATGATGCCCTTTGAATCCCATAGCGTTGCCTACCTCCCTGGTGGTGGGTGGTGTTCACCTTATAGGGATGGCTTTCTTGATTACAGCTCCAGCAGGCAGAGCCCCATGACTGACCTGTGACAGCATGTGGACACTGATGGTGGTGCAAGGCTCTGATCTGACTGGCTGCTGTCTGGGGTAGTGGCCAGGGTCAGTGCCGTGTATGTCAAGGGGGAATCTGGAAGGACACCACAAATGCTGGCCAGCAGGAAGGGGGCTTCTTTGAGGGATGAAGCGATAAGATTTAATGGGTTATCCCACTCTACTGAAAGTTATATTCCCTCCTGGGACAGAGGTACAAGATTGAGAAAGAAATTGTGGGCGTTTGTGTTGCCCCTGGCCTCAGAGGCTGGTACCCACCCTTGTTAATTTTGGCAGGTGCCTTTAGCTGATAAAGCAAAAATGATTAACAAACTCAGCCTGGTGAGTAAACTAGCTCAAGAGATCAGCTCCACCTATATTTTAAGGTTTAAAAAAATTTTTTTAATGTATAAAATATGTGCTCACTAAAGACATCATGTTGCAATTAAGTGCTGTTAAGAGTCTCTTCCAACTCATAGTGACCCTATATAGGGTTTCCCAGGAGTGGATTGTGAGTTTGAACCATATCTTTCGGTTAGTGGTCCTGTAGCACCACACCAGGACTCCATAAGCAATACTAAAAGAACGAAGAAAAAATTACCTTTCATTCCTCCGCCCTCAGGGATCTACTAGCATCCTTTTGGCAAAGACTTTCCTAGGCTTTCTTTTCCTGGCAGACTTGGTAACTAAGCAGGCGGTTCTAAGAGTGCCCCTTGACCATTCACAGGGCCCCCAACTGGTCTCTCTGCTCCTTCCAGGTCATTTTCTCAATCCACATTTAGCTTCCTTTTGAGGACGAATTTCTGCCCCAAGTAAATACGAATGGTACTTGTTTGCTTTGGGCAATAGTGTCACGGGAAGTCCTTCTTTTGTGGGTGGCATTGGTCTCTAGAGGTTGAATGACCTTCTCCCTTGCCCCGTCTCTCACTTTCTCTGCTCTAGGTACACAACAGCCAATGCAGAGTCTGACTATGACCAGGACTCGGACAGGGAGAGTGAGGACCGAGAAGATGAAGTGAGCTCTGAGACCGTGAAGATGGACTCTCTGGACCTGGAGGTGGCTTTGGGCCCTGGGTCTAGTCCCCTGGAGGATGTGGCGCCTTTCCTGCAACAGGCAGACAAGCTGCACCAGGGCAGTGAGCAAGACAAGCGGGCGGGCTTCCAGCTGCTGCTCAACAACAAGCTGGCGGTGAGGCTCTCCCCTTTCCAGCCCCCAGCCCCCAAGGCATCAAGGCAGGCCAGGTGGCTGACTCCTGCACCCTGCATGGAGGACCTGGGGAGGGCAATGAGAGTGCAGTGGCAGGGTTCCCATCCCCTAGGATTACAGACCTGTTCCAAGAGGCAGAGTGCTGACCCTGGGGCCCAGGTACTATTTCCCCCCTTAACTTCCTGCAAAAGAGCTTCACCCCTCAGTGTAGGAAAGATCTGGGAAGTCCACTCTCTTTAACTTCTTAAGGCAGAGAAGCCCAGCTGTCTGCTACTTTTGAAGCCTCCATCACAGATGTAAATGCATAGCCCAGGAACATTCTTTCCCCAAATTCACTGCCAACACTTATGCTCACCCAGGTATAAAGGCCGGATTTAATTTTCCCCTTTTGGAGGACTTTACAGTTTGTTATTGTATGAGCAAGACTTCTCTGTTGCCATGCCTCATTATGTCTTCTTGGAGCTGACCTCTCTGGTGGTACTGGGCAGCCAGAAGGCACTCCCTCTGCTCTTGCGCGAGCTGTGTCCTTAACTCAGCCGCACGTGAGGTCAGGGAGGGAAGGCTGGGACTGTAACACATTGACTAGGAGATGTAAACCTAGGGTGTGGGGAGAGGGCCAGGGCCCCATTCTATAGCAGAGGGTAGAGGGCCTCATACCCTCTGTTTGGTCTACAGTATGGAGGCTGGCCAGACTTTCTCTGGCGCCTGGCTCGAGCCTACAGTGACATGTGTGAACTCACTGAGGAGGTGAGCGAGAAGAAGTCATATGCCCTAAATGGTAAGTTCTGACAGGTTCCTGGTGGGAAGGTGGCTGACCTTGATTCTAGGAGTGGAACTGGCCCCTCTGCTTGGGACTCAGGAGAGACTTAAGATGCTAGCTATTAGCCAGGGCAGCTGTGTTACTCACTAGGGCCTAATTCTTTGCCTCCCAAGAACTCTTGCTGCTTCCTCTTGAGGAATGCCATTTTGGTGATTGAATAACACAGGTTCACATGTTTTTAGGAGCAGTTGTATATCATTAGCATTATTCTTTGTTCTCATTCCTTAAGCACAAAGAGGGGGCAAAGCCTCCTTTCTTAATCTGAGGATTTTTGCTGCTGTGTGGAATCTAGTTTCAGTTATGAAACCAGTGGCCAGGTGTCCTAGAATATGAGTCTAGTGTGTTTGGTGAGTGCCTAGGAGCAGCAGCATGGCGAGTACTGCTAGCACTCCACTTTACAAGCCTGTTGTCAAAGTCTTACCCTGGGGGTAGGATGCATCTGACCTATGCCACAGGACTGTCCCGGCCTGTCTTGAGGTCACTGAGAAACCTGGGATGGAAAGACTGGTCTTCTGGGGAAGATGTGTCTTGCCACACCCCCTCTGAGTCAGCACCAATGGAATTGTGGCTCAATTATTTAAAGTTAACAGAACTATCTACAATGGATTCTTCTAATTTCCCACTTTTAATAAGTACAGCTTTGCAAACACTACTGAATCTCTGATAATGTAAAATCTGACAATACCTCAAGGTCATTGTTCTAAACACTTATTTTTGTTGTAGAATTCTGTTAACATAGAAAGAACAGGCCAATTGAATTTAGGCCTTCAGAAAAATCCCTGGAACTTTTAACAAAAGGTGCTTGCTTACATAGTTGACCTCTTTCTCTTCAAAGAGTTCCTGCTCTCCCTTTTAAATTTCAGGTGAGGATTCCAATAAGCTTTTGATTGATTTTTTTTTTTGGGGGGGGGGGGCTCTTGGTTTCAACCTTTCCTTTTGGTCACTGATCACCTTTAGCAATACTAGGATGTAGCATGAATTCTGAAGATGGAGGCTGGGGCTGGGTAGTTAGAGCAGCAAGTACAGACAGCACTGGTCTGGTTGCTCAAGCTTAACACCTTGGACATGTCTGGTCTTATGGAGGTCAGAGGATTGTGGAGTATCTTGACCATCCTTGCTGGGTGTAAAAAATAACCAACCATCCTTCCCACAGCAGTTGCTACTCAGCTGGGTTAGAGAATTCATTGCAATGGCCATACACAACTCAGGGTCTATACTCACAGGTACAGGTAAGGGGTTTATTAGGGAAGTTAACAGTTACAATTCAGGATGAGAAACGCTCAGGGCACAGTTCCTCTAGTCAGGACAGCTTCTCAGCCATGGCTGTGGGCAGGCCTCTCTCTGGTCCTAGGCCTCTGCCTTGTTCCAGCAATGTTGCAAAACTCAGGGCTGCCGATAAATGCCCGCTATAAACCTCAGCTCGAAGACACTTGCCTCTGGCTCCATGGGTCAGCAGACTGAGCTCCCGAGTTAAGTGCCTGATAGTACATCTCTCTTTAAACGAGGCTCCTTCCCAAAGGCACTCAAGCCCCACTTGTTCTGTGGGCCCACAAGTCCAACCCCTCTGTATCATGCTCTAGCTCTTGGTGCTGCTGATGCTCTGGCACTTTTCTGATGTCAGTTCTCTTCTGGATCAAAGTCGTTCAATGAGCAGGAATCCTGAGGTCCGAAGGACGTGCTTTACTCCTGGCTCTTAATAATCAGCTGAATCATGAAATCCCTCAGCATTTTCCCCCACTGCCCGTAGTACCCAGACACAGCAGGAAAAAGTCGTTTGGTGGGAGTTTGCAAATACTGTGGTCAGAAGAGATGATATGTATTTTGTGGCACCTTGCTAGCCCAAAGTTCTTCATTGTCTCTAGGAGCTTGGTCACCAGGAGGCAGCCATTCTGTGTTATCTCAGGCAATGTCTGGCCCCCACTGAGTCTGCATGTCAAAATGTAACATAAGAGATTAAAGAGCAGGATAGAGAATTTAGCAAGACCTGATTGTCTTGTTCTTCACTATTATTTTTCTAATGAGAAAATGTGTCTATTTTGAAGGGGATGGAGAGAAACCCCCTAAGAAAGATAGGGTCCTTCATTAGGGAGGTGTATTGCCGTTTTTTTTTTTTTGTTTATTTTTTTGGAAAGGGGGATATTAGGTGCTTCAGAGCATCAGTTGTGTTAAAATGTATTTGAATGTATTTGTTATATAAATAACACTATACCAAATATGAGGAAACATTCTACTACCTCAACACATGTTCAGTTTTCTCGATGTTCTCTTCTAAGCTCTCTCAGCTTCTACTAGTGGAGAAATCCTATTTTGCAGAGTTTTCTTTTCCCCAGTGTAGGCACTGTGTCTTCATCTAGGTGCCTACAGACTAGACATTCCAAGGGACTCTTGGCAAGAGATTCCATGTATTTGTGCCTTGGCTTTTTGCTAGTCTTAATGCCTAGACAACTGGAGTAGTTAAGTGTCATGAGTCAGTGCTGACTAACAGTGACCCTGTATAGGGCTTCCAAGGAGCAGCTGATGGGTTTGACCTGCTGACTTTCTGGTTCACAGGCCAGTGCTGATCCTACAGAGACCAAGTAAGTCCTTTCTGGGTCTGAGGGAGAAAGATGAGGCTTTCTGCTCCCATGAAGATGTATAGCCTATATAGGATCACTATGAATCAGACCAACTCAGTGGCATACAACAATAAGTCAGCCATGTCTATTTGGCTCTTGTTGTGAGGGATTTGGGCTTGGAACAATAGCTAACATGAGAATTTGATCAAAGTTGGGGACCCTCTTCCCCAATAAAATGCACATATGCCAAAAAACTTATACAATTTCTGAGGGAAGTCTTTCCACAGACCCCAGATTAAAAATCCATCCAAGTAAGGTCTCGTTATCTTTATATTTGAAAACTACAGTTTGCTCCAAGAATAACAGGTGAAAAGCTGGTAATAATAGTATTTTATGACTTCCATATTTCAACACCAATGTGTTCAAAATGTAATATAAATTTAGACTCAAGACTAATATGACATGACTATCAAATAAGTGTTTTTCTGGTTTTATTTTACAAAAAAAAGATTATTAGGTAAGTTTTGTTTAAAAGGAGGTGACTGGGGCAACTGATGGCAGAGATAGGGAGGCGGAGCTGTAGCAGAAGCTGTCTATACACACTCATCCCTGAAAAGCTGTATGTGGATTCACTCTGCTCAAGTTCAGGACTATCTCCAAACCAGTCCAATTTGGATAGGGAGTCAGTCTTCTAGCAGCCCTCTCTCTGTGGGAGGGTGCATAGGAGCCCTTGGCAACTTCTGGATCCCCTTTGTCCTACAGGAAAAGAAGCAGCAGAAGCAGCTCTGGAGAAGGATGAGTGTGCAGAATGTCACCAGTGGTAATGACTTCCTGCCGGGGTCCTGGGGAAGAGCCAGCATGGGCCAGAGGAAAGGAAATAAGGGCCCTTTGATCCAGCCACAAGAGCATTTGCCAAAAGAACCAGGAGAGGGAGCTGTGGCCTATATTTTCACATACTCCACCCTACTCCCAGCTAGGAGCTCTGGTAGCATAGTGGTTGAGTCAGGCTGTTACCCTCAAGGTCAGCAATTTAAAACTACCAGACATTATGTAGGGCAAAGATGAGGCTTTCTGCTCCCATAAAGATTTACAGCCTCAGAAACCCTATACATGGTTGCTATGAGTTGGAACTAACTCCACGGCACATAATCACCAACCACCAACACCTCCAGCTAGAGACCCAGGGTATTTTTCTTTGGGCCTTGCAGATGAGGCAAGGGAGTACAAATTTGTTTGTTAGGACTTGGAGAAATGAGCAGCTTTGTAAGTCATCCTAGCTACAAAATGTGTGGGTTTTCTCAGGGAGGCTGGGACAATTGGCAGCTCTCCTCTCCTGCAGTCCTTTTTCATAGCTTCAGTCCCTGGCTGGTGGTAGACTTTGGCTTCTTTGCTTGTCTCGTATGAACATTGGAAGTGAGCAAATCTCTAAGTTCAGTGGTCCATTTATTAGCGTACAAAAACACCAGCCCTACTTTGTCTCATGTGAAGCAGAGTTCTGCCAAAATGTATAGATTAGAGCCAGGTCGTTTTTTGTTTTTATGTTGCTGAAACTGTCTCTACAAGGGCTTTTCTCAGGGCCCCAGGTCACTGTTTCTTAGGTGTCACAGGTGCTGCTCCCCTGAGCTCCCAAGGTTGGAAGGTGGCCTCAGACGTTACTCTCAATTCCTGAGGAAGAGCTTAGTATGGAAATGAATCATTGGTAGTGTCTAATACAAATACCCAGTTATCTAGTGAAGTCATAAATAAGAGACTTGGGCCTAGATCAGTCATTCAGCTTCTGTCAAGCATGTTTCTAGGGACAATGCTGAGGGGATAGGGTAGTGAAACCTTGTTTTTGAAGACAGGATAAGAAAGTAAGTAGCTGGTGGGAGGTGGGGTGGTGGCCCTGAAATTGCAGTTTTCTTCCTTTACTTCTGTTGCTTTTCAAATTAACATTACAAATTTGAGTATCCTGTCCTCATTTCAGTCCTAAATTATGGCTTTTCAGGTCAATGGTATATCTGTATACTTTCAAGGCCAATGACAGACACCCTCTGTATACTTATGAGATAAAAAAAGCAATATAATCAAGTCTCTTCTTCTAATTTATCAGAGATCTGCTTTCAAGTTTTTATGAAACTTGTGACTGGAAACTTATGACACAAGATTTGGACTGGGACTTTGCCTAAATATTCTTAGGTATAGGGGAGAGATTTGTTTGTGGACAGCTTTTTTTTTTTTGTCAGTCAAGAGCAACTTTATTAACTACAATACAGCTTTAAATGTACCTAGTCTAGTACTCTTTGGAGAGGTATGAGCCTACCAGTAGCTTTGCTATGGAATATTCATTGGGACCACAGATCTACGTAACAATAGAAATTTTCAGTTCTAGTTCAAGAGTGGAAGGGCAGAGGCAACTAGGTCTTGCGTGGGAAGTCTGTTCCTTGCATTGTGCTGGTATCCAGCCCTTAGTGCTGGGCTTGCTGCTGCTTCCCTTCCTTAGGTATGCAGTGCTTTGTGGTCAGCTGGCTGAGCATGAGGGCATCCAGAAGCGCATCCAAAGTGGCTTTAGTTTCAAGGTGAGGAAAGGCTTCTCTCCCTCTCTTGTGCTGGTCTAATCCAGCCTCACCGGCTACCTCCCACTTTCCTTTCCGACAGCCTCAGTGACTTGCCTTTCTTCTCTTAGCAACTCTTGTGTCTGATCTTTGATTCTTCGTGTTTTTCTCCCTCAGGAACACGTTGACAAAACCATTGCTCTACAGCCAGAAAATCCCATGGCTCACTTTCTTCTGGGCAGGTGGTGCTACCAGGTGAGCTATGTTCCAGGACTTGACATAAGGGTTTTAAGTGCCCTGTGACATAGATCTTTGCCAAGAAGAGCAAGGTACTCGGCTTCCTTTACCTGGTCCAGTTCAGGTGCCATTTCTCCTGAATTCCTGTGGTATTGGTGTTTAGGACCGAGCTCTGTTTGAGCCTGTTTTCAGTATAGACTATTCCATGTTCTTACAAATACTTCTTTAAAGCTCGCGCTTACACCTTGATCTTTTGGTGGCAGGTCTCTCACCTGAGCTGGTTAGAGAAAAAAACTGCTGCCGCCTTGTTTGAAAGTCCTCTCAGTGCCACTGTGCAGGATGCCCTGCAGAGCTTCCTAAAGGTACCAGGGAAGGAAGAGTAGATATCAGCCCCAAATAACAGGGTGACCTGCTGCTTTGTCCTAAAGACATAATTGGGACCGGGCCCTCATGGGAAGGGCTTCTGATATAGGGGACAAAGTTGTGTTCACTTACTTTGTGGGAAAATCAGACTCACCTAGAGAACTTCTTATTTAAGGGGAAAAAAAAAAGATTTCAATAAATTAGTCTCCAGACTGGGTACCAGAAAACTTTAATACCAGCCTGACTTGAATTTGGCACTCTTACAGAAATGCCTTTTTCCTTTCTCCAGGTTGAAGAACTACAGCCAGGATTTTCCAAAGCAGGAAGGGTATATATTTCTAAGGTAAATTCACTTGCCATCCTTAGAGATAGGGAGACATACCACGGGGCTATAAAAAGATCATGGGAAAATGGAATTATGTTAAAATTCCCATGAATTTTCTGAAGCCAGTCCCCTTGTGTAAACAAGGTTTCTGGGAACCCCTAAAAATGTACCTACTCACCCCGCTTCTAGTCTCTGGCTTGTTTTTGCCAGATTTTCACTGTTAGGTCTTTTTAGTGTTACCGAGAACTAGGAAAAAACTCTGAAGCAAGACGGTGGATGAAGTTGGCTCTGGAGCTGCCTAATCTTACTAATGAGGTAAGACTATTGTTAGGAGCTTTGCTGATACAGGTCCATTACTGAATCATCACGTCTCCTGAAAGAGAATCTTCCCTTGAGGTCTTGTTTCACTGGGAAAGCAAGTCTCTAGTTTTGCATGTAAACACCTCACCCTAGGGAGGAGATATAGCTCCTGCCCCTCAAGTTATCCTGGTAAAGTAGAAGAAAGACTGGTAATATCCCAAACTCAGATTCTGGTACCAGTAGTTTGGGAAATGTTGGCTCGGGATTTTGAGTTTTAGCCTTGTTCTGTTTCTCTTGTCTCCTTAGGATTCAGCTTTCCAGAAGGACCTGGAAGAATTGGAAGCAATTTTAGGAGAGTAATCACATTCCAGTGACCTTTATTATGTGAAGGATACCACTTGAGGTGGGAAGGGAAATAAGGGTTCTTTTCAGTTGTTGTTAGCATAGGAAACTGAGCAAGACTGGTTTCATGAGTGTTCTGACTCAGTCTGGCTGCTACCTGCTACCAGCTACCAATTTCCAATTGCTTTCTTGTTCATCAGTTAATTTATTCTAATCCTTTACCTAATCTGAAATTGGGGACGTAGCTAAGCCTTCAGTTTCTGCTCTAGTTCTTAATTGAATTATTCAAAGATCAACACTACTATAGCACCCGCCCTATGGTCAAGTACAGGTGGAGACTTGAAAGTTTGTTACAGCTGAGAAGATGAAGCAGTAACTTGTCTTTCAACTGTTGGTGAGGCAGGCGAACTTCAAGGAGCCACAGGAACAAAGCACAGGACATACTAAACTTGAGTCTTTTTCACTGGTTAATATTCAACACAATGTACATAGTTCTCAGATCACACCCTACCTACCTGAGTTTAAGAATGGGTCAAGGCAACCCACAGATATTGCTCTCTTATTTATCATGTGGAATTTTAACTGTATTCTTGGACTGAGGGACTTGACACTGATTTCTAGAGTCCTGGCAGTTTTTGGAAGGACAGTAGTAGCAAAGGTTTATGGTACTGTCAAACAATGATCCAAAGAGTTGTCCAAAATGCATTATGGCACATTCTTGAAATAAACCAAATTTGATAGGAAGTAATTATATTCTATGTTTGTGTTGGCGTCCTGGTGTGGCCCTGTGGATTAATGTGATGGACAGCAAAGTCAGTTTGAACTTCAAGGTTGGCAATTCAAGCTTATCAGCTACTCCTTGGAAATCTTTTATACAGGGTCACTATGGGTCAGAATGGACTCATTGGCACCTTAACATGTTTGTTTCAGTCATTAGTTCCTTTTCTAGACTTTCCAGAATTTATTTCCTCCTACAGATACTACAGACTCCTGGTATGGCTCTTTTAGGATCAGCACTGGACAGTGAAACACAAGGTTGGCAGTTCAAACCCGCCAGATGCTCCTCGGAAACCCTATCCAGGGTCACTATGAGACGGAACTGACACTCGATGGCACATTAGCAACAAAAACGGACACTATTGCAGATAAGAAAATCAGGATGTTGGATGTTTAGTATTTAGTAATTAATGCTATTTCCAGTGAAAATACTGGTATTGCATGAGGCTGATTGTGTTTAGCCCACCCCTCTCATGTGCACCATTAGTCAAAGCTAACAGCACAAAGTCTAAATCCCTCCTGGAAAGAAGATCTCAACTAGAAGAAAAAGTTTCTAGACCAAAGTTACTTAAATAAGATTGAGAAGCTTTTATATAAGAAACAAGTTCTTTCTCCAGAATCTGTGACTTTGTTAAAACACCCCAAGTTTTGTTTTGTGGTGTAGAAATGAAAGAGAAGACTTGATGTACTCGTTTCTGAAGATGAAAACAGATTTTTTGGAGGGGAGAGGGGTATGTGTCTAAAACCAGATAAAGTTTTGGATAAAATTGAGATGAGCAGATATTATTTGGGATAAGATCTGGACTGCAAGTCCCAGCTAGGAAAGACTAACTTCAGCACACAGAAAATGGGAAATATGATAAAGGACAAAAATTTAGAAAAAAGTCTTATTTGGTACCTAGCTTCCAGGGACAGTAAGTGACAAGGCTACTTTTATTTCAGTGCCGAATTCTTAATTTCTAAAGTACTCTTTCAAAAGAGCTGCAGGACTGGCCTCCCTAGCTCCCTACACACAGTATTATACCAACACAAGCAGCAGCAGATTTATATTTGTTCCCCCCACCCCACCCCAATACTGAGAGGCCCTTTGGAATTGGAAGAGTTAGTTAAAAACCATCTTAAATAGAAATACGAAGGGCAGGAAAAAGAATATATTCATCTTATAATATTTTCTAATGTTCTCTATTAGGCTCACTCATCTGAATGTATAGGAACCTACATCACCTGTACTTCTATTTCCAACCAGTTTTCAAATCTAAAAGCAATAGAAACCAATTACTCCTACCTAAGCCGTGCAGGAGGTCCTGGTGTGGCGCTGTGGGTTAATGCGTCAGACTGCAAAGCCGTTTAAACTGCAAGGTGGGCGGCTCAAGCTCACCTCCTGCTCTTCGGAAACAATATATACAGGGTTGCTCACTATGGGTCGGAACCGACTGGATAGCACTTAACAGCCAGTGCCACAGAGTGATTATGAAGTCCCAATCTTGACATATTCCGCTTATACACAAATAACTCCCAAACAGCACATTCATTACAAATAAAACTACTTTATTACCAGTCTTACATTGAATCTGTTCACTTAAATATTCTGAAATGTTTAAAGATCCCAGAATTAACTTGAGTTGGTTTTAGCGTCAAACACCAAGTAAGAAGATAGTGAATGGCTGCTGGCCTGACAACCTTACTCAGGACTCTAACCATAAACAAACATACATACAAACGTGAACACTGGCTTCTGATTGACAGAGAAGAGATCTACTGACAGAGCAAAAGAACCTGTGAGGAGACCCATTCCCTTGCCACATAACTTGAGCATTTTATTTCAACATTATTCAGTAAGAGAAGAGTTGGGTGTTTCTACCTTTAGTTTTCTCCAAAACATAAGACTATTTGTATTCACAGCTGGTAGTCCTGAGTCAACTCCAAGGCACTGTTATCAAGGTATTCTGTATCTCACCTCCAAAAACCAAAGAAACCACATAGAGATTATTATACTCCAGAAGGAACATTTTAGATCAGTTTGTGACTACTAACCTGTATCCTGTTTACACCATCAGAAAAGCCAATACAGTAGATGTTTTCCCAGAAGCCTTTTCCTGGCAGTCACAACAGGAAGAGGACTGTGAACAACCCCAGGGAGCAGTCCTCCATTGGGCTGACGCACTTAAGGTTTACAAAAGGAAAATACTCAGTGATTCAGTCTTTGGCATCTCCTACCCCGTCTGCATTGATGGCAAACATAGCTTCAGCTTCAGGAAGACAGGGAGAGTCATAGATTTTGCAGATTCTGGTTTCTCCTCTTCCTTTCCTCAGGTACAGTCTGATTTGGAGATAGGCCAAAACAAAAGTTATTACTATTAAAAATTCCATTCTTGACTTTTATTTATGCTAGTTAAAAAATTTAAAAAGATATATGTATGTATGTACTACCTAAGGAAGACTTGGGAGCCTTTCTGGATTTCATAGGCATAAGGGTACATTTCTACCCTGCCAACTCTTAGTGGATTATCCAATATTGAAACCTCTTTTTAATCAAGGAGAGGCATATAAATTATTCATATTCATTCTTCTACTTGGGATCCTGGTGTAGCACTGTAGGAATAAGCACTGGACTGCTAACCGAAAGGTCTGTAGTTCAACCTATCAGCCGCACCTGAGAAACTCTAGTCCCTGTGAGTCAGAACTGACTTGAAAGCTTGTAACAACTGGCACTCTAGGATAAGCACTGGACTGAAAGGCCGGTTTGAACAAGGCTGACAGTTCAAACTCACCAGCTGCTCCTTAGAAACCCTACACAGGGTCACTGTGAGTTGGAATTGACTCAATAGCACTGACAGCTCTCAACAATAACTAGCTTATACAGCCCTGGTGGCACAGTGATTAAGTGCTAAGCTATTAACTGAATAGTGGCAGTTTGAATCTACCAGCCACTTGGTGGGAGGGAAATGGGGCACTTTGCTTCTGAAAAGGCAAGTGCTAGAGAACTGATTACGACTCACAGTGACCCTATATAAGGTTTTCAAGGAGCAACTGGTGGGTTTGTACCACTGACCTTGAGCATTAGCAGTTCAGTGCTTATCCTATAGCATCACACCAGAACTTCAGCCTTGGAAACCCTATGAGTAGTTGTTGCTATGAGTCAGAGTTGACTCAGCAATAACAGATTTAACTACTTTATGAAGGATCAAAAGACAAACATCTGTACTAATAAAAGCATAAAAATTAGATTTAACAGTAACTCCAAAGTACCTAATTACATACATTAGTAGTAACTCTAATAGGATTTAAATGGAAATGCTATATTTTCATATCTACAGTACTAAATTAATATGATATTCCAAAAATTCATCTGTCCCATCAGCTTACCTGGTTGTTGAAGCATGGGCAATGATGTTTCCTCCAATAGGTTTCTTGGGATCTGCAGCAAACATGGCTGCTCCATCGACTTGAGCTACCACCTGGTTAGTGATTACTACTGCGACACCAAACTGAGGGGAAAAGGATAACACCACTTTTGCAGCCACATTCCAAAGACCTTACTGCTGTCATCCCTCCCCCCACAAATCAGTACCTGGCATCTCTCCATTTTATCTGATAGCTAAATGATACTAAGTCCTGGACTTCCAGCCAGGCTCCTGTGGTGGGCAAAAGCAGACATTTGTTACTCCTACTCCTCAGCTTACCTCATCAGCAAGTCGCAGAAGCATCCGCAGAAACCTGGCCAAATGCATCTGCCTGGCTGAAAGTTCACCTCGACCAGAGTAATCTGTTCTGTAGAGGGCGGTGGCACTGTCAACAATTAGCAGTGCATACCTATAGAGAACAAGGATTCTCTGAAGCTCATTTCTAGTGTAAGATTACTCTTCCTCACGACCCTTAAATCTCATACTGATTAGTATACTGTTAAGTGCCATCTAGTTGGTTCCTACACACAGTAACCCTATATCCTGAGACTTTAAATCTTCACAGGGGTGAAAGGCCTCATTTTCCCTCTGGAGAGGCATATGGTGGGCTCAAACCTCAGACCTTGTGGTTCACAGTCCAGTGTTTACTGTATGGACTGTGCTCCCATTGACAGTATCTAGATGTCCCATTAAAATGAGTATTTGTACAACATTCACATCTGAATGCTGTAAGAGTTACAATAAGTACAGGTGGATTATGATGTCATGTTTGCTAATGACCTAAACAACAAACAAGAATGTCAAAAATAAAATCTTAAAACCTTCATCTCCCCATTTCTAATCCAAGCTACAATCAATTTTGCCCAACAGTTTATATAAGATTCAGGGGAAGGTTCCTGATTTCAACAACAACGGAGCACATGTGAGGTCCTGGTGCGGTGCTGGGGTTAATGCACTGGACTGCAAGCTCACCAGCCACTCCTTTGAAGCCCTATACAGGGTGGCTATGAGTTGGAACTGACTTGACAGTACTTACCAACAACTGAGCACATACCTGGACTCCACCATCATGGCTGATGCTTGATAAAGGAGCTGGGTCTGATGGTCTGTGTTGAATCCTCGAGCATAGGCTACATTATCCAGGACATCACTGCCAGAGAGGCCATATCTAGAAGGGAGGGGAGAACATTTTTAGACTGGACATGGAACCCAGGCAGATAAAAAATTCTTATCTGATATGGAAATTCTCTGGATAGGTTGTTAGTGCTGATGAACTGGTTCTGACCCATAGTGACCATGTACAGGGTTTCCAAGGAGCAGCTGGTGAGCTTGAACCGCCGGCCTTGCAGTTCAAGTTCACCAGCTGCTCCTTGTAAACCCTACATAGGGTCGCTATGGGTTGGAACCCGACTTGATGGCACTTAACAAGTTAAGCAAATTACACACATACATGAGGGTAAGTAAAAAAGTACTGCTACAAAAATCATAGAAATTCTTACTGAAATTAACAAAATATGACACTACTATATCTTGACATATACTCCATCTAGCTCTATACATTTCTGAAGTTGGTGGTTCCGTCTCTCTTACCCTTCACGGAAAATTTCTGCACTTTTTGATCTCTACATCAATATGGCAATTTTGGCATCCTCGAGAGATTCAAATTGTGTTCCCTGTAAATGTTCATTTGTTGCCCATCAACTGAAGAATGGATAAATAAACTGTGGTACATACACACAATGGAATATTATGTTACCTTGAAGAATAACAAGGAAGCTGCAAGCCACCCACATAGCATGGGAGAACCTTGAGGACATTATGTTGAGTGAAATTAGTCACTCACAAAAGGAGATATACTGCATAGGACCATTACTGTAAAAGACTAAGAAAAAGAACCTATACTAAAGGGGGAGGGGATTCTTTGCTGGTTACTGGGATTTTGGGGGGAGGGGGGTGGAATGAGGGGAGGGAGGGGAACATGGAGCACAGGATAGTTTGGGTGCTGGGAGGGGGGCAATACACAAGAAGGGGGAAGGGAATGGAAGAACAAGGCAGATGGGAAAACAATTAGGCAGGTTTGCATGGGCTAAGTGGGACAGAGGTAAATGATGTATGCACAACCTTGGAACAACAAGGCTCTGGGATACAGGGACTGAGACATAGTTGGAATGGGCAAAAGGGAGAAAATAATGTTAAGATGCTTAGCTGTCTTTTGAATCTTGGTTTCCCTAGCATACCATTATAAAATACACACTTAAGGGGGAGTGAAAGGAATAGCCAGAAATATCACCGTAGAAAGCCTGTAAGTCCATCTTCTGCCTGTAACTGATTGGAATACCTAAAATGGGGCTACAATGTGCCCAGTGAAGGAAGCTTCCTGCAGAGCCTCTGCATTAAATAGGACCATAGGTGGAATCCGGAACCCCATCTAGAAAGGACAAGCAGACCAGCCTGGAGTGACCAGAAGAACAGATGATACTTCTTGAAAGAAAGACAGACAGGAAAACTATAAAACAATAATGGCAGTCTGACTGAGTACTATAAGAACAAGCAAGTTGGTCCTACAGGAGACATCAAGGCAAGTGATCGGGTCCCCTCAGAGCAAACTCCCTTCCAAGACTAAGACTCAATGGGAATACACGAGTAGACATTCGCTCTGATTGGTACCACGTTGGTCACCGATAAGTGAAAGTGAGGGAAAAACAGTAATGAAGCTGTGAGCTAAGCCGGGTGGAGACCTGGTTGCCCAGCAGTGTGGCAAGACCTGGGGACTCTTTGGCCCAGAGTCAGTGACATAGCCACAGAGGACTAGAGTGGAGAATGAAGCGTCCAGCTGGTAAGAAGAGAGTGCATATGCATAAGAACACCCACATTTGCAGATAATACCCACTTGACCTGGCTTCAATGACTGGATGATCAGAGCTAGACAATGACTAGAAGAGGCAAAAAAGAGTAATCTGATACAATTTGATGAACTTGACCTACACCTATGGATGCAGTAGCTCAAAAGAGGGAACAAATTTTTACAGCGAGGATCATTTCTACCCCTTCCATACACAGAGTAGACAGGGATGGGCAACTTGAACATTGGCTACCCAAAGTGGGGGGGCTACAAAGGCAAGAAGTGAATGGCTTACAAGCTTTCAAGAAGGAACCTAAATCCAGAGGGTGTGGAGGAAGGCAGAATCTCCACTGAGTAGTATCCAATCTGTCTAGGCGGGGCTGATGAAAGGAGATGGGGATAGATCTCTTGTGATACAATAGTGAATAATTATCAGGACTGACTGTGAGGGTTGGAAATATAAGGGTAGATGTTTAGTAGCAAAAGGAGGGGAGTGATTGACTTTGCAGTGAAGTCCTGGGACCATCAAGGGAGAAGAGCGGAGTGCGGGACCTTACCCAGAGAAACAGTGACACCAAAGATGGAGGCAGAAACTATGACATGGAGAGATCGAGGGGCTGCAGACTCTAAACTCAGAGAGGGATAGGGGCTGTGTGCTGACGACCCGGGGCCAGGCTTGCAGGGTATACCGTTTGGTTGATTGATGATGCATGGAGGAGATTGTAACCATGAAATGAAACGATATACGAATAGGATGAATGTAAAGCTAATGTTCTCCCATGTAAACTATCAAATGTTGTTGTTAACTGCCAGTGAGTCGGTTCCAACCCATAGCAACCCTACATAGGGTTTCCGAGAAGCAGCTGGTGAGCTTGAACTGCCAACCTTACAGTTCAAACAGCTTTGCAGTCTGGCGCATTAACCCACAGCACCACAAAAACTATCACATAACTCACAATGAAACATTTAAAAAAAAAAAAGTTCATTTGTGCTTTGGGAAAAAGAAGTCTGAAGGGACATGATCAGAGCAGTTGGGTGGATGAGGTTAATGTTTCCCAGTGAAATTCTCAGGACACCACTCCTTAACATAGGTATAATGTTCAGGTATGTTGTTGGGATGGAAAGAAGTTCCTTAGCACAACTTTCTGGCAGTTTTTTTCATCAGTGCAGTTTAGAATTTCCTAAAAATGTCTTGTCCTGTCTATCCCTTTGGGATCCCCCAAAGTCATCATAACCTTCTTAGCTGAGCTCTCTACCTTGAATTAACTGACTCACGAGATTCCCTCAGAAGCCACTGTTCTGCTGGAACCTTTTTTTGGAAGGCACCCTAATGAGACTAAGAAAACTTGTCTGCAGTCACCCACTGATCAGAGACAAGTACAAACACATCTTCTTTGGAATATATCCAAACGCATGGATTGGGTTCCTAGTAGCAATACTTTTTGACTTACCCTAACAGAGCAACAGCAACTATGGATATGTACCTGGCAGGACATCATTACATTTATCAATATTTTCTGAGGACTCATTAGAGAAAAAATGTCCAGAAAGAGGGAAATAATGTTATTCTGGAAAGACCAAGAGCTGCATGACAAAACTGGAACTAAAACAAAAATAGTCACAGAAAGATCAATTTAAATGAACTGAAAAAATAAAAACATGTTTTTAGTTGATAAAGCAGCCATAAATATAACCCTAATTAATAAATGGAGTTCTGGTATGGTGCTGTAGGATAAACATTCAAAGCCAAGGTTGGTTTGAACTGCGAGGTTGGTGGTTCAAACTTACCAGTCGTTCCTCAGAAACTCTGTATAAGGTTGTTATGAGCTGGAATTAACTCAACAGCACTTACCAACAACAATATTCATTAACTCATTAACAAATATGAATGCATTGTTGTAGGACCTAGGAATAAAGTGGGTGATTGAAACAGTCCTTACCCTCAAGGCCCCATGCTTCTATTACTTAGCATGTTTTTGAGGTTCATCTCTAAACATTAGTACTTATGTATACATTAGTACTTTGCTCCTTTTTCTACTAGCTATCCTAACATGGGACTTCTGGTGTGGCGCTGTGGATCAGCATTGGACTGCGAACCACAAAGTCAGCAGTTCAAACATACCAGCTGCTCCTTGGAACTGACTCAACAACACTTAACAATAACATCATCCTAATATGAGACTATGTAAATACTCTATATGTTACTGAACAAAATTTTAAAGAATCTGTCTAAAAGACAACTTCTAGAATACTAAAACAGTGTATTAAAATGGAAATTCTATGAGTGCCAAAAACAACTTTTGGAGGGAGAGTAAAGTTCAATATACATATATTTATAAAACCAAGATTATGATCTCCTTACTAGAAAATAATTCTTTCTTGGCAGATTTTGTAAGGAGAGAGTCATGATGCTGGAATCATAGCTTCAATCTAATTTTCTGTCTCAGTGATGCACGTACATGTACATCAAGCTGTAAAATGGAAAAGAGGCTTTTGATATAATTATAAAAAATGGAAAGAAAATTCTCAATTTAGCCTTCTACAAACTGCCCTACCCAGGCAGGTTTCAGTTTGAGTGTGCAATACCTTATTATACAATTAAAATTCTATTTAATCACAGGATTTCAGTTAAATTTGTTAGTGTTAAGTGCTATCAAGGAGCTCTGGTAGCGTAGTGGTTACGAATCTGGCTGTGAATCGCAAGGTCAGCAGTTTGAAACTACCAGCTGCTCTGTGGGAGAAAGATGAGGCTTTCTGTTCTTGTAAAGATTTATAGCCTCGGAAACCCTGTACAGGTTTGCTATGAGACGGAACTGACTCGATGGCACTTAACAACAACAAGTGGTATCAAGTTGGTTCCAACTCACAGAAACCCTGTATATGGTTTCTGAGGAACAGCTGGTTGCTTTGATTCTGCAGTTAGCAGTAACCAGATAAAAGAAATAAATAAAAAATTTTGAGAATTTATTTTAAACTATATTAAAGAATGTAGAAACATAAATTCTCTGACTTAGTTGTTAAATGCTGTCAAGTCAGTTTTGACTCATAGACACCCTGCATAGGGTTTCTGAGGCTTTAAATCTTTGTGAGAGCAGAAAGCCTCATCTTTCTCCCACCTGGGCATGAACCACCAATCATGCAGTTTGCAGTCTACTGCTTATTCTATGGAGTCACCACACTCTTTAACTTTATTGAGCCATAATTTATATACAATTCACCTAATTAAGAAATACTTTGTTTCAGCACATGGTAACAACAAAAAAAATCAAAGGGAAAATACCTGGGTCATGAAAGGAAAATTGCCAACCTGTTTTCCAGTGTCTGCACAATTTTCCCTTCTCATTAGCAGTGTATGAGGATTCTAGTTTCTCTATATCCTACCAACATTTGTTGGTATTCTAATGGGTGTAAAGCGTTATCTCATTGATACTCATCTGCATTTCCTAGATTAGTATCTATCTTTTCAGGTACTAATTGGCTATTTTTATGTCTTCCTTGGAGAAAAGTCTATTCAGATCCTTTGCTTCCTTTGCTCATGTTTTAATTGGGCTGTCTTTTTCTTGTTGACCTGTAAGAGTTCTTTATATATTCTGGATACTAGATTCTTACCAGATAAATGATTGCAAGTTTTTCATCCATTCTATTCATCTTTCCACTTTCTTGATAGTGACCTTTGAAGCACAACTTATAATTTGGATGAAGTGAAAACTGACTCTATCATCGACTTATTAATTCATGAACTATGCTTTTGGTGTTACATATAAAAAAATCTTTGCTTATCTCAAGGTCTTGGAAATTTACTTGTTTTTTTTGTGAAAGTGTGACCATTTTAGCTCCTTTTGAGTTGCTTTTTTGTATCTAGTATAAGGTAAGAATCTAAACTCATATTTTAACATGGGCATTTACATCGACACCCTTAATAAAAGATTATTCTTTCTCCTCTTGAATTACCCTGATACTTTTGTCAAAAATGAAGTGATCATCAATTCTCAATTCTGTTCTACAGATCTACGCTTATTCTCTATTAGTACCACACTACCTTGATTAAGGAATCCTGGTGTGGTGCTGTGGATTAATTTAATGAGCCAGACTGCAAAGCTGTTTGAACTGCAAGGTTGATGGTTCAAGCTCACCAGCTGCTCTTCAGAAGCCCTATACAGGGTCACTATGGGTCAGAATCGACGCGATGGCACTTAACAACAACATTTTGATTATTGCAGTTTTATACTGCTTTAAAATCTAGAAGTGTAAGAACTCCAACTTCTTGTCAAGAATGTTTTAGTTATTTGAATTTCAGTGTAACTACTAAAATTAGCTTGTCAATTTCTGCAGAAAAACCTTGCTTTGCTGAAATTTTGATAAGTATTTTGTTGAATCTATTCAAATTGGAGAAAACTGCCATTTTAATCATTTTTCAATCCATGAATGTGGAATGTTTATTTATTTAGGTCTTGTTTAATTTCTCTCAGCAATGCTTTGCAGTTTCAGTATACAAATTTAACAGTTCCTTAAATTTATTCCTAGTTATTTTATTCTGATACTTTTGTGAATGGAATAATAGCATTTTTAATGCTATTTCATGTTATTCTTAATTTCATTATCATGCTGTTCATTGCTAGTATATAGAAATACAACTGATTTTTGCATATTTATATCCTGCAGTATAAATCCTGAACTTATTCATTAGTTCTAGTCTTTATTTATTTTTATGGATTTCTCAGGATTTTCTATACATAGGATTATGTCATCTATGCATAAAGGCAGTTTTACAGTTCTTTCCTTTCCAATCTGGATGCTTTTTATTTCATTTTATTGCCTGATTACCTTGGTTAGGACCTGCAGTAAACGGTTAAATATAAGTGGTGAGCATGGACATCCTTTACTTATTTCTCATCTTAGGGAAAAAGCATTTACACTTTAACAATTAAATGTTAGCTATGGGTATTTTGTAGCTATCATTTATCAGTCTGAGGAAGCTTCCTTTCATTTCTAGTTTAATGAGTTTTATCAAGAGTTTTGAATTTTATCAAATGCTTTGTCTGTATCTATTGAAATGTCTTTTATACTCTATTAATAAGGTATATTATATCAACTGATTATTTGGATGTTAAACCAATCTTTAATTCCTATGCTGAATACCATGTGGTCATGCTATATAATCCTTTTTCCAAATATCTGCAGGTTTCTCAGATTTCTCTCTGTGTGGATCTTTAATTTAATTCTACTATGGTCAGAGAACATGCTTTGTATGATATCAACCCTTTTAAATGTATTGGGAATTAGTTTGTGGTCCCAGCACATGATCTATTCTGGAGAATGTTCAGTATGTACTTGAGAAAAATGTGCACGATTTTGTTGGTTTTGTTGGAGTTTTATGCTAATTAAATTGGTTTATATAGTATCTAGTCAGGTCTCCTACATCCTTGCTGATATTCTGTCTAGTTGTTTAATGAATGAGAGTGAGATTTAAAATCAACAACTATTGTAGAATTGTCTATTTTTCCTTCCAAGTCTATCAATTTTTGTTTTATTTATGTTGGGGCTTTGTTGTTAGGCGTAATTATTGTGTCTTCATAATGAATTGGCGGCTTCTTACTCATAAAATATTCCTCTTAGTCTTTTGTTTTAGTTTAGTCACTCCAGTAATTTTATGATTATAGTCTGCATGGGATATCTTTTTTAAATCTCAATGATTACAATCCCCTCCCTGAAACAAGTTATCCTACTTCCTCCTTATGGTTCCCCATTTACATCTTCTTGTTGTTGTTGTTAAGTGCTATCGAGTCGGTTTCGACCCATAGTGACCCTGAACAGGGTTTCCAAGGCTGTAAATCTTTACAGGAGCAGATCGCCTCATCTTTCTCCCACGGAGCAGCTGGCAGTTTCGAACTGCTGACCTTGCGGTTCGCAGCCCAATTCGTAACCACTACGCTACTTACTTCACAAATGAACAAAGCAAAATATCTAATGCATATGTACAAAACTATATATGTATATGCATTTAAATGTCCAACGGGCACATCCTGCAAGCTAGCCTCTTGCTTGTAGTTGTAGGCACACAGCCTTACTCAGTTCATGGGCCTAGAGTTGGGATAGCTTTTTTTATTCTTCATTTTCAATCTATTTGTGTCTTTGAATCTAAAATACTTCTCTGGAAGACTACATATAGTTGGATCTTTTTTTTTTTTTTCATCCACTGTGACAGCAACTCATAAATTCATGACTAAAGAATGCTTTTTGCTACTAAGGAAGGTTTTTATTTTAAACCACAGAATCAACTTTGTGGTACAGTAAGAAGAGACACTCTTTAGCCACATTACTTGAGTGACAAGTACAACCATATTTTCTCTCATCTAACCCAGTAACCTACCTCTCAGCCACTGCTAGCAGACGTTCTGGTCTAAAGGTACCCTCAGTGTCAATGTACATGGCCTTTCCTTCACCTCCACCCCGATCAATAGGAAGCTAGAGAGAACAAAAGAAAACAAGAAAAAAAAACAGTGAAAATGAAATTCTGATACCATTGATCAAGTTCTCTAAGGCAGGAACATTTAAAGAGAAAAACACTTAAAGGGGAAAACTTAAAAATGACAAAGATGTATAGAGGAGGAGGTATCCTTTTTGATAGAAATACAGCCAGTAGAGGTAAAGTTCATTGTATCCCTTAGCATATAAGGCTAGAGTTGAAGTGCTTGAAAATATAGTTCGAAGTAGGCAATAAACTTCTGTGACTACATATCAACACAAGAAACAAGACTGGTTGAGCAATTCTCTCAAGCATAAACACATTGGGAAAGCATTTGAGAAATCATTTATGTTAGTGTTAATCAATAAGGGAACTTGATCCAATCCCTTTATCCATACCAAAACTTACACTTTTACTGAGCACAGTTCATTTCTGAGGGTCATTGAAGGGGCCTGGCAAGGCACCAGGCGCATATATTGTTGTTAAGTGTCATGGAGTTGGTTCTGAATCAGAGACCCTGTATAGCATTTCCAAGGAGCAGATGGTGGGTTTGAACTGCCAACCTTGTAGTTCGCAGTCTAGTGCTGATCCTACAGTGCTACACCAGAAGGCCTCACAATTAGTTACCATGGAAACTTAAATTTGAACCATCCCGTTGGGACACTGGTGCTATTTATAGCAAGTTTAAAGTGTAAGCACAGCAGAAAGTATGAGCAGAAAACAAGAAAAAGGATTACAAAAAGCAATAAAAACTGTCTCCTGAGCCACTCACAGAAATCTGTTATAGGCTACCCATTCCATGCCAGACACCTATGAGTTCTATAGAGTTTAAGCGAATGACGTCAACAAGTAATTCCATCCTAAAAATCTACTTTGTAGCCACAATTTACTTCTAAATTCCATGTAAATTTCATTAAAACACTTCCCACTAAGGACCTTGTGACATCCAATTATTTTCCTTTGAGAATTCCCCCACAAAAAATTATGAAAATACTACACACTTATATTTAAAATTCCAGCACACATGTATACTAATGTTCATAGCAGCATTATTCAAAACATCCAAAGGTGAAAACACCACAAGTGTCCATTAACAGATAAATGGATAAATAAACTGTGATATAAACATACAATGGAGTATTGTTGGTTAAGTGCTATAGAGTCAGTTTCACTGATAGTGACTCAGTTAGGGTTTCCAAGACTGTAAATCCTTGAGGGAGCAGAAAGTCTCATCGTTCTGAGAAGCTGATGCGTTCCAACCATCAACCTAGTGGTTCACAATCCAATGTTTATCCTATAGAGCTACTGTGCTATCTACATTGAAGTGTTATTCAGCTAAAAATAACTGTGCTATCTACATTGAAGTGTTATTCAGCTAAAAATAAAAATGAAGTTCTGGTAGATAAATATTGAAAAAATATGCTAGATAAAATAAGGACAAATATTGTCTAAGTCTAGTGGTTACCAGAGGCTAGGGGGAACAGAGTTAAAAGTTTAGAAATAGAAGAATTCTTGCCTTCCCAGTGCCAGTGCAGCCAGTCACCTTGTGTAATGAGCTGGGATACCACCAAAGTAGTGACTTGACATAGCTGCTGTGCACCATAATGTAACTCTTCCTCCTATGTTAATGAGGTTAATTCTTTTTAATTTTCACCAATTAAATAATTCCATTATGTAAAATATTTATACATTTATCCATGAACATATGTAAAACTTTCTGTGAGATAAATTTGCCGCTCAAAGGTTATGTGCAAGTAAAATTGAATTTATGTTAAACTGCCTTCCCAGAATTTTAAAATTACTCTAATACTATGAATAAGCATGTGGCACTGTAGGATAGGAATCCTGGTGTGGCACTGTAGGATAAGCACTGGACTGCTAACTAAAATGTTAGAGATTAAACCCCACCAGCTGCTTCATGGAAACCCCAAATAGGGTCATTGAGTCAGAATTGACTTGCAGGCACTGGCAAGCTGTAGAATAAGCACTGGATTGCTAGCCTAAAGGTCAGCAGTTCAAACCTACCAGTTGCTCTTTGGAAACCCTATACAAAGCTGCTATGAATCTAACTTGACAGCACTTGACTACAAGAAATAAGCATAAGGTATTCATTTTTATATCCTAACAGTACCTCTCAACTGAATATAGCTTCACTATTAGACAGCAAAGGAGGTCTGGTAATGTAGTGGTTACAAGTTGGGCTGCTAACCTCAAGGTCAGCAGCTCAAAATTACCAGTTCCGTGGAAGAAAGATGAGGCTTTCTGCTCCCATACAGAATGACAGTCTTGGAAACCCTATATAGGGTTGCTATGAATTGGAACCGACTCCAGGGCACACTACCATACTATTCATTAACAACCCAACACATTGTAAGGTTTCATTTAAAGTTGAGCAAATCTGAACAATGAGAGCAGACAATGGGTAGTAACCTAACATCCTTTGTATGAGGGGAAAATTCCAGTATCTTTTAATTCAAGCTTTTCACAAATGTTTTGAAGCCTTCTCAAAGGTACTTAGGAAAGTGAAATGTAATTATTTACAGTACTAACGAATTAGCATTCTTTTACTCTGAAGGAAAAAAATCAAACATCGGTGTTCAGCCATTTATGAATGTTGGTTTTTTATAGCGAGGATATGTTTATTTAAGAATTTTACTTTAGTTTATTATTGATAAGCATTATCTCACAATTTAATAAACATTCCCAGGCTAGGATTCTATTTGTACAACTTTATAGCGTCAGCATGATAAGTTACCAAGGCAACTATGGATATTGTGTACAGTACTCTAAATATTTATTCCACATGAATCTTTGTCAAAACAACCTGAGGAAAACATTTCTGTTTTAAAAGGCCACACATCTTGTCAAATGGCGCATGTCCACGTGGTATGTTAAACAGCCTCATTTCCCTTTAGCCATAGTTTTCGGCTCCCACAGCTTAGTTCTACTCTTCTTCTTTTCAGCACCTCCCACCCTCACTCCTTCCACAAGTTATTTATAAGGAAAGCCAAAGGCCAGGTCTACTGGTTACTGGAATCCTAACAGGGCCATCTAACATAAGGCAACATTTTGGTCACTCTTCATAAAATCAAGTCTGAACTTATTTTGAAGTCAAGATACACAGTCAAGCATTAATTGAATGCTTACTGAGTACTAAGTACTGATTTGTTGTTGTTGTTGTCAGGTGCCATCGAGTCGGAACTGACTCTAGTGACCCCATGCACAGCAGAACGAAACAATGCTCGATCCTGGGCCAACCTCACCACCGCTGCCACCCCCGAGTCCATCTATGATGCCACCTGGCCGATCCATCTCGTTGGAGGTCTTCCTCTTTTTCTCTGACCCTCCACCCTACCCAGCATGACATCC